TGAGAAAAGTCCTTTACTTTTTTTAAGTCGAAATCAATGCAACTGTTCCCCATGTGGGTTCCACTGCCCCATTTTGGGGTGGCCTGGGGGTGTAGCATGTCGTAGTAAAAGGTGACTAATTAGGGATTTCCCCCCTGAAATAGCAGCGAGAAATCAACAGTCTGCATACAAGCAAGCCAGATTTGTAAAACAGATGTGCATGCAAAATTCAAGTTCTGGAACAAGACAAGTCCAGAAGTGGACAAACAACCAGAACTTTCTGCCAGAGTTTACAGCCGATGAATGCTAGAAAGAAGCAGTATGGTGATGAAACATGAACATCTTCCCACTTTTTGAATTTGTACCTTAGTAACACTAACAATTTTCTTTTTTAAATCATCCAGTCCTACATCACCTAAAAATGGGTAAATATGGGCAGGAAAGACAGTAGTATAACTATGATGTATTTTCTTTCCCTAGAGAATGTTGGTGTACATACAATATTGGCAATATGGAAATAATGATATTCCACACTGAACTAGTATATTTAGTTGTTATACACTGAAATATCTCTACTGTTATAAGAAGTACATTACTGATCCAATGGCAATGAAATAATCCTTACTGAATTAATATAGCTTACTGTTATATGCTGAAGTACTTGATAATCAACACTGAACTAACAGAGTTGGTGGCTATACACTGATTTGTTTGCAAGTGGGGAGATAGGATTATCTATGGACATGACCATATGCCAGTGATGACAATACCCCTCAACTAAACTTGATCATACCAATGAAGTTTGCGTAGCCCTGTGCCTGGTCCCACACAAGATCTACTGATGCCTCTTACACTGACATAAGAAGTCTGAGTAATAAAATATTTCCTCAACAAGGATGAAACAAGACAGGTCAGAAGGAAAGTCTGTGCACTGTACCAAACGCCACTGTAGCCCAAAAATTATCTTCCCTTTGAATTAAATAAGGCAGGCCAAAGGAAGGATCATGCAGCATGGACAACAAACACATGGTCTATATTGTATATACTTTGTTCTATGGCTTTAAAAATAGGAAATGGTCATGTTATCACCACAGGCTGCAATCCCATGCCTTCCTATAGCATAATCTAACACTATCATCTGGACAGATGGAAAAGCCAACCAACTCTGGTCCACAGTATTCATTCATCAGCCTGTTGTGCCATTACATGTTGCATAGGGCTAGGAGTCTATTCCTCCATTCTATTCTATCCTGTGCAATCAGTTTAATATCATGGATGGAATCCGGTCAAGCCCCTTTGGCCTCTCTCTTCACAGTTCATTCTTGGTTTTTCTTGGACACTGTTTCATCAGTCCATTTGTTTCCTACTACAGTGAATGTTTGGTGAGTCTATTAGCTTCTCAGGACGAGCCTGATATAACACCATCTTCTCTGTTTTACACATGTTTGATACCAGTGACTGACCAGACATTTCTCTAATTTCTTCACTTTTATAGCCCATAATATACACAGAATAATTAGCTGAAAGTCAACTATTACCTACAATTAACAACCTCAAATGCACCAACAATGTAAAATCATAGTGTTAATGTCAGAATGTAGCAAAAGTCAAAATCCAAACAGAAACAGAATGTAATCAATACTCAAGAACATAGAGTATTATCAGAATGATACAATACTGTTTGCGTGTGTACATTTGGCATTCTACAGACGTATGCAGAGAACAGTATGCCCAGGACTTCCAATACTTTCCATGCGGATCACTTTAGCAAAACAAAAAAGGTCAAGGAATGCTGACTGCCAGTAAATGAGATGCTGCTACCCCAGGGTGTCACACTTACCAACTCCTAGTTTCATTGAGGTTGTGGTGTAAGAAATGAAACCCATAATAAAATTAACAAAACTACAACTATAAAAACATGACAGTTTATATGTAATCAAGGGTGTCTTTCAAAACCAACTTCGGTGTCCAGGTTGAACGAGCTACCAGATGATGCCATGTGAAGCAATGGCAGCCAGCCTGATGCTGACCACATACCTCACTGAGTGCTGAAAATCACCTGCCTGATCGGTCACTGACATAAACAGGGTCCTTTACATATCCATCTTCTTTCTTTTGTCCAACTGCTGTAAAGTGTCTTAAAGAGGAGTTATGTGTAGTTTCCTGTCTTTTGCTAGCCGTGTTGCTTGTGCTAAGAGAACTAATTACATGAAGAGAACTAATTACCCACATCCGAAAGAGACAATCTACATTCTGTGGTCATGTGATGAGACAAATTAAACTGGAATGCATCGTGATGGTAGGAACATTGGAGGGGAGGGGAGGCAGAGGGAGACTGAGAAAACAGTTTGACATTCTGGCATGGAAGATCATTTGTGCCAGAGTAAACTGATAGTACAAGAGACAGAAAAATCCAACCCACAACCCCCTAACAAGCATGTCGTAAAAGGTCATTAATTAGGGGTGTTTCCTTCATAATCAGAGTGCATATGTCAGAAAGGCAAGGAACCAGCAGTCTGCATGTAAATGAGCCAGATCAGTAAAATTCATGTGCACACGGGATGCAAGTGCTGGAACAAGACTTAAGTCCAGAAGTGGAAGAACTACCAGAACTTTCTGCCACAGCTTAAGGCTGGTAAAAGCTAAGAAGTTGTTTCACTGTCATATTTTTTGTTAACCAGGGGATCTGGCCAACACTCAGTCTGCAGGGAAAGACAATACATGACCATATACACTGAGTTATTACACCAATATTGTAACTTTTTATGGCAGCATGCTGCTCAAAGGTTAAACAGAGAAAGAATTAAAAAAAAAAAAAAAAACCATGAAATATAAATATGTATATCAACCTTTCTGCTAAAGAAGCGCACTAGTGACAAATCATCATCATGTGCCATGCTAATAAGTGTAGGGTGTCATATTTTGCCTACTCACACGACTACCAGATCAGGTCAGTTTTCTTGTCCTGCTCCATTCATACAACTAAGCCAGCCAGGTCTTTATCTCACCTTTGCTCTTTTTCTATCAATCTCGCCTGTGATAACCACGTTTTCGAGTCCATTCCTTCTCATAACACGTATGTCTGATATATACTCATAACATGTCTGATATATACTACTAGTCAAAATCAACGGCCACTCTATTATTTTTAACATACTTTTAAATAAGCGCACAGAATTATTAAATTAAAAACTCTTTAGTAAAAATGGGTGCAAAACGTCCTATGACAGACTGGTCCTCTATGCACATGAAGCATGAAAACAACTCACTGAAAACTATGGTGATCAAATGCAATTTGGTTTGCTGACTATAAATTCACATTTTAAATCTGAATTTTTTTTAACACTTCTGTAGTTGAAATTCCAGGTGCAATGTGACCGTTCATGAATGGAGTTCACTCTCAATTTGTTTAATAAACAGCAGACTTGGGGGTTGTTTCTTCACTTGCAAAAACCATGCCATCGAGAAAAAGCCCTGATACCTTACAAATAATGAGGGTTATAGCGCGACCGGCTTCAGCTGATGGGCCATGCTGTTGACGTCACAGAGTCAGCCTAACGATGCGTTAATGCAGCAGTTCTCAAACAAGAAATAAACTATTTTCGACGGTGGCGAGGGAAGACAACTGAAAGTAAGTATCTACATGCCTTTTTTTTTTTATTTTCACAATTTTTAGCCAACTTTTCTTGATTATTGCCACGGCACAGTTTGAGAACCGCTGCGTTAATGCATCGTTAGCCCGACCCGGTGACGTCAGCAGCACGACTCGTCAGCTCGAGCTAGTCGTGGTTATAGTGTGAGCTGAAAGAGGTTTATCTATCTGTGAAGTTGCTAGACAGTTTTCAGTGTTACACTCTAGTATCCACAGAATTTTGGAGAGATTTCAGGCCACATGACATGTGGAGGATCGCCATAGAGGCCCAAAAGACAAGATGATCGGTACCTCATGTCCATCCTGTCCTACCAAACAGTGACTTGTTCCACTCTAAGATTTCAGCTAAGACAAACTGTTAACATTAATGTCTGTCAGAGCACCATCTGCAGATATTACATGAATTTGGACTGGCTGTTTGACTTCCTACAGTAAGAACTGCTCTTACTCCTAGTCATCCTAGAGCCTGTGTTGCTTAGTGTCTTGAGCACATGGACGAGGCTACAATTGAGCCAAGTCCTCTTCACCCGATGAATCTCAATTTACTGAGGCATTCAATGATGGTAGAATTTTGAGTTTAGAGACGACCAGGGGAGCAATTTACTGATGAACCAATCCAAGAGGTGGATCGTTATGGTAGGAGATTCTGTCATGGTCTGGGGAGGCTTCTACAGACACCGCTGGAACCCACTCTACCATCATCCAAGGCAACTTGACCGGCCCAAGATACCAAATCAAAATCTTGAGATCAATTGTTCAGCCTGCTCTGGAGGTCATACATGGTAATGCCATCTTCCAAAATGATAATGCTCGACTCTATCAAGCTTGTGTGGTGAATGACTTTATCCAGTAATATGAGATCATCAGGATTGCATAGTCAGCTTGTTCCAATGACCTTTCTCCGACTGAGCACCTCTGATATGTCCTTGGTTGAAGACTGTCAACAATTCACTCCCTGCTAATGGATGCTGCACAGCTGACTGAATTTCTGCTTCAGAAACGGCAAGCTGTTATTCAGGATACTCTTCAGGGACCCTTGTGGTCTTGATATGTCTATGTCTATGCTGTCTTGAATGCATTGCCGAAAATGGTGGTCTTACCTGATTTTGAAATGTCTATAGGTCCAATATCTATTTTATGACTTTTGAAAAGGTGGGTAGCACACTTAACAGCCTCACTGAGTTTGAATGTGTTTCCATTTCTTCAAATGACATGTGAATGTGGTGTTCAGTAAATACCATTTTCAGTGATATTGTAAACATTTATATCAGATCTGTTTTATGGTTTCACCCCCGGTTTTTCTAAGTGGCCCTTGACTTTTGATGAGTAGTATATATTAATCTGAAAATCAGTAATATTATGAACTTACCTTCCGGATCATGTTTGTTGTCAACATCAAAACATCAGTTTCTTCATGGAATGATTGAGATGCCGCCAAGTAACCAATTCTCTACAGAGTAAAAAAAAAAAAAAAAAAAAATGCAGGTAATCTAGTAGATTTATTATAAATAAAAGAAGAAATGATAAAATTTAAGTTGTAATTCTACTATAAATATCTTACAACCAGTCAGAGAAAAAGCCAAAGAAATATTAGTTACATATCTTTATTCAAATATTAAGACAAAATTAACAGCTCATCATTCTCTGCAGTTCTTGTCTACTTTTATTTCATGCTTTGTTGTTGTTGCTGTTGTTCATGCTTGTTAGATAGCACACAATTTACTAACAATTTTATTTTAGGTTCGACAAAGAAGAAGATAGTCTAATTGTCCTTCAAATGACACATGTTATTTATTTAACTGTCGCTTTTATACAAAACATAACAGCTTAGAGGATGTCTGCATAATGGTTCAGGATTTTGACAAATACTTATAAAAGAAATTCTCCTAGTGTGTGCTCCAAGCCCCATTATGGTAGAAACACAAAAAGACTCAATGCCCCTTAACAAGCATGTTGGAAATGGCGACTAATTAAGTGTTTGCTGATGTGCTGGGCTGAAAGGTGCTGCCACGTAAGCCACAACCCAATGTGCCAACCACTGCTGGAAAATGCTGAAGAAGAAATGTCAATGCATTGTTCAATGAAAAGCCATGTCAAATATTATATCTCGCTACAATCTGAAGATAATTTTGAACAGTTCAGCAAAATATTGTAAACATGTCAAAACTATACCAGAAAAACTTTTTGGGTAGCCATGAAAGAAAAAAATGAGGTCAATAAAGGTGTGGAAATAGGACCAAATTTACTTTACTGTATAAAATCATTTCCTTCAACAAAACTGACTATTGCAACTCCACTGGGGTGGGCTACTTTATGATGAAGCAGATCTCCAGAAGGCTTGCTGGGATCAAGTGGACAGGGCGGCAGTACAAAGCATCTAGATTTCAAGAGACTGATTCAGGAAGTAAGAAGATCTGGATGGATTTCAATTTGCAGGGGAAAATAAGAGACTTTTTAATCAGGTTGCACCTGCCACCATCAGTATGGGAACTCCTCGCTAACTAGTTAGGAATGAACGAATGAACAAACTTTATTTTCAAAGGGTTACAAACTGGGCACACAGGTCTGTCTTATATTCTGTCCTTCCGAGCACTCATCTATCAGACCACAATAGCATGTTATCAATAATGCATGTAATATTTACAGAAAAATATACATAATGAAATAATGCATACTCACATCATGTATCCACAATTATACACACTCTGAATGTACACTCTCATATGCTAACACATACACAGACACAAGCCCACCAATGCAGACACAGGAAGGGGGCAGAGCACATGTGGGGAAGCCCCAAAAAGTAAAGTCCGTTCTTGATTAATTCATTCATTCACTTTTTTTTTTCTTATTTCAAATAAATGAACTGAGAATGATACAAACCTTGAATGTGAACTTGGTTGAGCTCATAACCTCTATAATGTTAAATGCTGCCCAGCTGATATCATAGCCAAGCATTTGAAGCTGCAAAAATTATAAAGTGTTTTATTATTCTTCAGAATGTTGACTGCAAAGATTATATTTCACTATGTGTCGGTTAAATGTGGATACACAGAAGAATAGTGCATATTTAATGGAAACAAAAACAATCAAACATAGAACAAAACAATGTTTTCCTGTTGTGAATTTAAACAATGAGGACACAAACAATACATGAATTTGTCGCCAGGCATATTTTGCTGTATCTCGCCAGGTGAGTTACTACAGAACTACAAAAACTTACATACTGAAGCACACATTTTCAATAAATTTTCAAAAATATTTAAATGTCTACTAAGAAATACAAAAATTCAGTGTAAAAATAATGTCCTTCAATTTATCCTATGGAAGAAAAATTAAACCTAGCTCCAACCTATGAATATTAAATTCTGACATCAAATCTGTATTGGTACATGCAAATAAATTTTTAATCCGCATCAAGAATGATTTTTTTTTAAAACACTCCAGTTGCCAGGTTGACACGGCCTAAAATTGGTACCAAGTAATGTCCAGGGAAGTAAAAGTGGCATGGGTGATGCTGACCACATAACCAACTGCGTGCCAGCTGATCTATAAAAATGTAGGTCTAACATAATATGCTCAATGCACCAAAGGTGTGAAAAAGGTCTTTGAGGTGAAGAATTGCTAGAAAGTCACAATGAAGATGGCCTCCCCAACTTTTGACATGCTGGCAATGAGAAGCAGCATTGTGTAATCTATAGATATTAATAAGTGAATGAAAGTCCTGCACTGCAATGCATGCCTGTAAATCCTGCAAACTGTACAGAGTGGAGTAGGAAGTTTCAAAATGGTGCAACTTTTGTGGAAGACTATAACTGGGTCAGGCATACCGAGTATTAACATCCAGAAACTACTGCAGCTGGTGAAGGTCTTGCACAGGAAAACTGCCAAATGACTGTGAGTGACATTGCCATACATCTTGACATCAGTCCAGGTTTAGCAAAACACATCATCCATGATGTGCTACCGTACTGTAAAGTGTCTGTAAGGTAGGTGCCAAGGCAGTTTGTTAAGAGCTTTTGCGGCACTTCGAAGCACAAGGTGATGGTTGCTTATCAAGAATTGTTACTAGGGATGAAACCTGGGTTCACTACCACAAGCCAGAAACAAAGAGAGCGAGTAAGGAATGGCGTTTTGTCTGCAGAGAAGGCTATGCAACTTTTAGGATGACCAGGTGTTTTTAAGAGCACTACATGCCAAGAGGAAAACTGTCACCAGTAAGAGGTATATAGATCTTCTCAGGAAACATCTTTGACCAACAATCAAATCCAAATGATATGGACTTCTGAGGAAAGGTATCCTTTTGCAACTGGACAATGCCTGATTTTTTACTGCATTTAAAATGATTGAAACCATCAAAGACCTCCACTTTCAGCATGTATCACATACCCCGTCAGACCTAGCCCCAAGTGATTTCCACATGCCTGGACAACTCAAAGACTCACTGAGAGGAAAGAATTTTCGGTTCGACTGGTGGTGAATGAGTGGTTACACACATGATCAAGAGATTATTTTTATCCAGGAATCAAAGCACATTATTGGCACTGGAGGACATGCATTGAACGCAGTGATGAATTCATTAAAAAATGATACATATATCCTTTACTTTTTTCAAAATATTTTCATCCAAAATAATATTTAAGGATTTCTATTTGAAACTTCCTCGTCTATGCTACCAGTCAAACGTGGATCCTTAAAATGTCTTAGAAGAGCGGCCGGAGTAAGAAGAAATAAAATTTGAAATTAAGAAATTTTAAAAAGACTTTGACCACAGTCAGTAATACAATTCAATACATAGCAACAGATAAGATGGTTTGTCCATCTGATTTTAAAGACCTAGTACCAAGTGCCTCAGAGATCCACATTGAAGAAAAATAATAACCATAATACAAGCGGAAGACCATGCACAGGATGCAATATGGTATCAAGAGAACAGTTTTAAAGAAATGCAAATCAACTTATACTAGAAAAAGCATATAGAAGATTCTTACATCCACCCCCTCCCCCCTTTTCCCAACTTTTTGATAAGTTAACAGAAGAGAAGAAGAAAAAAAGACTGCCACTCTGAGTTAAAATTCAAAATCAGAAAACTTACCAAAAAGATCATATTTCTTTCAAGTGTGATTCTGGTATACACACTTCTGGAACCTTATCAGTGCTACAGCACTGATCAAGATTCTCACAATGAGAATTATTTGATCTGAAGCATGTATTGAGAGATAAACATGTGCTTTGAAAAAAAAAAAAATGGATGAAGAAATTAATATCAAATGCAGTAAAACAAACCAAGTAAAGAGACAGCTAGCACGGCTAACCTTCCTCCTCCCCCCCCCCCTTTTTTGTTTACAGCTTAAGACAATCCCAAACAGAACAAAGAAAAATCCAATTCAAAGCATATTCCTTCCCACTTTTTGCTACCAGTGCCAGACATGGACACTTATAACAAACCATAAAAGAAAATTAGTAATCACGGCAATGAGACTTTTGAGAATGGTTGCCGGAACGACCACAACAGATATAATATGAAATGGGGTCATAATAGCAAAAGTCGGCATGGAACCAATTATAAATTACACATAAAGAGCAAATCAGATTGGTTTGCAAACTTACAGAGAATGCACTGTAAAGCCATGCCATACCATAAAAGGCATACACCAAAAGAGCAGAAAGTCAAAAAGCACAAGGCAGACCACAAACAAGACAGAAAGATAAAATCAGAGAAAATCTACATAAGAATGTGTCTATGGCTGAGGCGACCAGAAAAAGGAGAAGGAAATCCTTATATCTCCCTTGACACCCAAAGCAGTAAAACAGGAAGTGAAGAAGTAGGAGAACAGAAGTAGTCCTTCAACCAAACCAAAAATATATTATACTGGGAAAACCCATAACTGTTTTCTTACATGTATTTGTATTATGCTGTTTATCTTAACGAATTTTAATGTACAAAGAATGGAGGAAATCAGCGCAAAATATGAAAATACTCACATAAGTTAGCTTATTGACTGCATTGGCTTTGATGGCAAGGTTATCCTGTTTCAGCTCTTGTTTTATTTCATCAATGCATTCTGCTATGTACTTGCTCTGATGGAATATAATATAAACATTTCATAATTTTTTTTTCTCTTTACTGCCTTTATGTTACCACTTTTTTGGGGTGTAGGCAGTTTAGAGGGAAAGGGGGAGGGGGGAGGGGTCTTTGAGCCTGAGGACTTACGGCCACATGGCTAGTGCTGTCACCACAACTGTGCAGGTGAGGATTTTATTTTGCTCCGACAGAAAAAATTCCCAGTTTTTCCGAGGATTTGAACCTGGGTCTCCACATTTCATAATAATGTACAGAAACATTAGGAACTTTTCATTTGACAGATCATTTACATAAACTATAAACTTAAAATTAACATAAACACATTACAAAAACATACATGTCTACATGTGCAACAACAAAAACTAATTAAATCAGAAATGGACTTTTACCAATGTTATAATATTTCATAAAAACAATGACTAAAGCATCAGTTTAAAAAAAAAACAGTTCAACAATAAATCAACATCCGTAACAAATTTTGCTCTCACTAGTTAACCAAGGATATGTTCCAGTAAATTATTAATCTGGATGATATCACATGGAGGGGGGTCTGCACACGAAGTGATGTGCTGCTGGAGATGCAGGTTGTGGAAAGGCATGATCACAAACGCCAGACAACAAGGCACGTGATGATGATGATAATATTATTAATTATAAATCTAATCAAAAGAACAATATCATACAGAGATTAACATATGTATGTGTAGAAATATATCACTGGTTTAAAACAAGTTATACAAAGTAAAGTGTCAATGTACATATTTCTGTGGGGTGTTAGGAATTAGGCCTTTATGTATTCAAGTTCGGATTTCTGGTCAATACAGTGGATTAGCAGGTTTACTGTTTTTAGTCGTGGTAGAAAATGAGAAGGTCAGAGAAACTAGTACGCTGCCAAGGTGGAACTACAAGAAGGCTGACTGGACAATGTTCAAGCACCGTACCAGTATACTGCTTGGAAATCTCAGCATAGACCAGGATATAAACAAAGTAGTTAAAGAATTTAACAAATGCGTACTAAAGGCAGCAGGAGAATCAATACCAAGAGGTGCCCGTAAGCATTATAAGCCATACTGGAGTAATGAGCTAGAAAATTTACATAACGAAGTAGAAACATCCAGAAAGATAGCAGAGACCAGGCCAAACCAAGAACATCACAATAACTACCAGCATGCAAAAGCAAAATTTGTAAGGGAAAAGCTGCAGGTTAGAAGGGAAAGCTGGCAGGAGAAAACAAGGTCGCTGAACTTTGAAAAAGACACAAGAAAGTTATGGAAGCTTGTGAAACAAATTAATGGTGAAGACACAGGGTGGAACTCAAAGATCACGCTGCAGAAAGATGGAAACATGGTCACAGGAAAAGAGGCAGCCAACCTATTTGCGGACACTTTTGCTTTAGATAACGATATTGAAATCAGTTCAGAGAAAAAACACGAAATTCAAGAAAAGACACAATTTAGAAGTCAGAAAGAAATAACATCAGAGGCGCTAGAGGTGCCAATTACACTTAATGAACTGGAGTTGGCCATTTCAAAGCTGAATATGCGGAAGTCACCAGGAGCAGATGGTATATCCCAAAAAAAAAAAATGATTAGAAACTTAGGAAAAGCAGCCAAAACAAAGCTTTTACAGATATTTAATGCTTGCTGGGCAACAGGGAATGTTCCACAGATCTGGAGAGAGGCAATTATGATACCTCTCATAAAGCCTGGGAAAGACAGTTCTAATGCCTCCAACTACAGACCAATCAGCCTCACAAGTTGTCTCTGTAAAACAATGGAGCGCATCACCAACCTCAGACTACAGTGGTACATTGAAAGTGAAAACATCATTACACCACAGCAGGCGGGCTTTAGAAAGTTCTACTCTACGGAAGACCAGACAACATACCTCTCCCAAGAAATAGAGGATGCTTTTCAAGATAAGAAACTGGTACTCGCGGCATGGATAGATTTAAGGAAAGCTTTTGATAAGGTTTGGAAGGAGGGGCTTTTGAAGAAATTGAGAAACTATAAAATAAATGGAAAAATGTACAATTGGATTAAAGCATATCTACATAACAGAAGAGCCCGGGTACAGGTAGATGGTTTTTAAAAGTAAAAAAGTTCTACTGCGACAAGGCGTCCCTCAAGGTGGTGTCCTGTCGCCCACACTTTTCCTTTTATTTATCAACGATCTGGTTGCTGAGATACCAAATGGAATCAAAATGGCAATGTACGCCGACGACCTGGTACTGTGGTGCACCAATGAACATGCAACGATAGCCACAAAAACACTACAGCGGGCTACAAATGCACTTGAGGCATGGGCCAATAGATGGTGTGTCAGCATCAACACAGACAAATGTAGCACCACACTATTCACCCTCTCCCCAAAGCAAAAAGCCGGCACCATCAAAATAAACGAAATACCCCTGAGAGATGATAAAGAGCCCACATACCTAGGAGTCACATTTGATGACAGGTTGACATGGAGAAAACATATCAACAAGGCAGCAACCAAAGCCAGGAGAAAGACAGCAATACTAAGAAAACTAAGTGGAACCACATGGGGAGCAGATGGGAAAATACTCAATAAAGTATACAAGCAGAGCATACTTCCACACTTGGAATATGGGTCAACTGCATGGTGTTCAGCATCTAGTACCACATTAAAGGAGTTAGACAAAGTGCAAAATCAAGCGCTCAGAGTCATCACAGGAGGGATGAAATCAACCCCCATATTAGAAATGGAGAAAGCTGGGAAAACACAGGCACTGAGAGAACGCAGAGATACAAAGTTGCAAATACAAGCTGAAAAGTTCCTCAGTATGCCAGATCACCCGATGGAAAATAGATTTAAGAACCTAGCCTTGGGACGGTTAAAAAGAAGCAGCTTTATACACCAAGCAAAAAGAATATGTAGACAAACTCCTGACCTTCCAGAAATTGGCTGCCCCACTAAAAAAGTATTCCGGAACAAACCCCATGGAGAGAAAAAATGTAAACTAACGGTACAAATCCAGACAAATGTGAAAGGGATATTTGACAAGAAAGAGCAAGATAGTGTACAACGCAAAATGGCCACCCTCAGTTATATTGATGAAGAATACCCACAAGAACAATGGGTCAGAGTCTATACAGATGGGTCCGCAGAAAGTGCAGTTAGAAATGGTGGTGCTGGAGTGTACATCGAATTCCCAGATGGTACTAGGGATAAGTCCAGCGTACCAACCGGGAAGTACTGCCATAACTACGATGCAGAAACCCAGGCTATTAAGATAGCTACAGAGAAAACTGCTAAATACCAACCTTGGCTTACAGTATGTGGTAATGCTTACAGATGCTAAATCAGTACTTGAAGCACTCCAGTCTAGGAAACTACCAGAATTGCAAACACTGCTGACACAACTCAGCGTTCAGCGAAGAGTCGTAATGCAGTGGATACCGTCTCATTGTGGAGTGCCTGGAAATGAGAAAGCTGATCAACTGGCAGGGGAAGGTGCGAAAAAAAAGAGCAGCCAGATGTACCAGTCACATACCACCAAAAGAAAAGAATCATTAAATCGATCAGGAAACCACCAGCCCCAGCACAAGACGACTATTTTATTATGGACAGACCAGAACAAGTCATTATCTTCCGCCTCAGAACAGGGCACAACCGATTACGTAACCACATGTACACAAAATTCAAGATAGGTGTATCAGCCATGTGCACCTGTGGAAATGTGCCCCAGACCGCAGAGCATGTACTCCAGGACTGCACCGAATTTGACACATTAAGACAAACCTTTTGGCCAGAAAGAACAACAGTGGAACGTAAACTCTATGGACCACTGAATGAACTAACAACGACAGTGAAATTTATACAAGAGACAAAACTGCTGATATAGATAACTTATTTCAGGCGAACGAAAGAAAAAGAAGAAGAAGAAGAAGTCGTGGTAGGTTTTTGCTTCTGACATTTTCCTCCATATGTAGACTGAAAAGATATATTTCCATCACCCAGCTACTGAGCTGGGTGCACGGTGTAATACTGTCAGCTGCAGATTTAATTTGGAATGCTTTTCAGCTGTGCCCAATGTGGTTTGTGTTAAGAACTGTAGATTCAGATAAAAGGTAAATGGCCTGTTGCCACAGAGCTGGTGGTCCCTTGATGTGATTAACTGTGTGTGTACTACTAAACTATTGTAACTGCTGCTTCTATTGACAATCAACTGCATTCTAGTATCAAATTGTTTGTGCTGGCACTTCTGATGACTGCCTTATAAGTTTAATATGTGTGTATGCTATTAAATGTACTAAGACTGCAGTCTTTTTCAACTTTTGTTCCCCACAAAGGACAGTGATGGGGAGAGTGATGAACATTCTTTATGGTTTACGATGGCACAGAAGGGAGAAACTTTTTGGTGACCCATTTGCTGTGATGCTGGAACTGAGATAACCTGATTACATGTATTCAAGGTCAAAGGCATACTGAAGTTGTGAGACCAATTTCCTTCTTCATCACTTTTCTTTCATCTGATTCCCAGACAATATAGAAAATGATTTAGTAGACTTCCTAGTGTGGGTTTCAGGCCTCCATTTTGGAGAACAAAGAATAGATCCACAGTCCCACTAATAAGCACGTCGTAGGAGGCGACTAATTAGAGGTGTTTTCTTCAAAGTCAAAGTGCATCTACCTGAGAAGCAAGGAACCAACAGTCTGCATACAAATAACCCTGACCTGTAAAATAGATGTGCATACACAATGCAAGTTCTGGATCTAGAATCAGAGACCAAAGTAGAAGTGTGGATGAACAACAAGAACCTTCCGGTGGATGCTAAGAAGAAGAGAAAAAGATATAGTAGGCTGAGTCTATCACAGTGGTGCAAAGGATGGAAACAACTGCGTTGAAAACAAATTAAGGAAACTGATGAACAGTTAATTGGGATGAATTCAAGAAGGGCGAAGAAATTTAAAAAAAATAGCTGGACAGTGCCTTGTATCTAAGTTGAAAGACAAAGAAGATGCTGCTACACTGGCAAAATCATGAGGAGAAGGAGACAGAAAACTGTCAAACAGGCACTTAAATGGAAACAGACTGAGGAAACAAAGACATCAAAGAGAAAGCCTAAGACGAATATCGTTGAGAGCCCAGGGGTGCAGAATAAGATTTCACCCATGATATCTAAAGGGTTGCACTGACAGAATGGATTGGTCCCACGACTTCATACAGCTAGGTCCCATGACTGCATGCAGCCTATCTACCATAACTTGAAACATTAGATTGTTTGTTCAGGGTGAACGAAAACGAAAGCACCCAAGATGGCAAGCCGTTTTTGACACTCAATGGAAGAACAGGAGCTGGGAATTAAATACAGATCACTCCTTGGTAAACAGGTACACTAGCCCTTAATCAAACTTGGCTTCTTTGACTTAAAAGTGCTTTAAGGCAGTCTCTACTGGGAAAAGGGTGCTCTCTAAGGGATCAGGTCCATTTGCCTCCACAAACTCTGAGAATCACAAGTTCAGTATCACGCCTGCAACTATTTCGGAGTCAGGCTCAAGTTAAGAAGTTTTGTGCTGATGATAACAAATGACTAGTATATATAAATCTTCTTATCTGTACCAGATTTAAAAGAAACTTAATGAGAAAATAGCTTTACTGGGAGAAGAGGAAATGGTTGCCCATAATAAAGCACAAAATAGGACAATGAGTCAATTTACGTAAAGAAAAGATGGCCACATAGTAAATACTGCAATGAGTGGTATAAAGTGTTATGCCTTTCAATTTTAAAAACAATGACATACTACAAACAAAGCAGGGATGACAAATTCTATCTGTTCTTTCACAAAAAAATTCCCATAAAATTGTCTGGTACCTTATTTTTTTAAAGCAAGCAACACATGATGTATGAACAACACTTCACCATGAAACCCAACCATTGCACAGGTGTTCATATTTATTTTACATTTGGTCAGGGCTAAAGAAACATGGCTTCCCACAGTGGCCACTTCTACTGTATATTTACTGTGTGTAACAGTTCTACAGTTATGACATTTCATAGTATCGGGTTATCCTTCTAGATGTTTGCTGCAAAACCTGCTGGGACAGAAATAATGAGAGACCAATTTAGCACAAGGCCTAAAATGGTGACTGAACACGGACCACTGCCATGACAGGCAAGAGTCATTGTTCCAGACTAACGTATGGAAACTGGTAAACGATTAGTTTTTCAGGGAGGTCGTCTTGATGATAGCGACGTTCTGCAAACTGCCAACTAAGGACAGGACATGTTACCTGGACAAACAATAATGACGTAGTGACTACAGTTTCGACAATTTGCGGTCTTTTTGGCAATTTACGTTACCATGGAAACCGTTTGAAACTTGTTTGGGAAATGTCGGCTGGGGTTTCGGGATGGGTCCTAATCTTTCATGAAATTTTGCGATTGGTGTGATTTTCACCAGCTTTGAATAGCCGAAAACGGCGGGAACGAACCTGATTAACAGCGCATGTCTATGACAGCCGGACGTCCTCTGTTTTTCTGTTACATCGGTTTGATTGAAACATATCGCTAAGTATTCACGGTTGGCTTTAAGGCCTTAAACATTACCAGACAAGGTAATGCTAGTTATAACTGAATTCTCCGTCCAATTTTACACTTGTGTATACAATTTTCTTTCTTATCTGTGGCTGTTTCGTTTTACAGTGACATTTTTCATGCAATCGCTATTATGTGGCTGTGTCTGAGAAAAATTGTCTGCCATCTGTTTTTTACATCTCATCTCCACAAAAACCTACATATCTCAGCTCAGAAATGACATACAAGGCTAAATGAGGTACCATTGGAAAGAGATTGTTTACAGCTATCTAACTGTGCTGGTTTTATTGGCATTTTAAAAATTTGACTAAAGTACCTAAATGACGCGGTTGACAATCCTTTGTCTTCCAATTTACCGAATAATTTTTGAATATATTTTCAATAAAAACGATTTTATACTTGGCATTTTCGAACTGCATCAAAAGTACAATTTTACCACAAAGTTAAAAAGCCAATTACAGCTTTATGAGTTGTGGGGGCGTTAACCGAGGGATACACTCTTTATCGATAACAGGTAACTGTCAACAATATTAACCTCATTTTCCTTGTGATTCCGAATGCCTCGAACAAGATCCTGCAAATTTTTATCCAGAACTCGTTCGAGAGTTCCTTTGACCTTCTTCAGTGCCATGCTGAATGTATATTTATCAGCCGTGCATCACAAAACACACAAGTTAAGCAACTCCAATAAGGACGGTAGTACTCCCAATACAGACAGTCCGTGGAGCCTCCAATATGTCTTCCGTTTTGCTGTGATCATGTGATCTGACGCGTAGCCCTTCAGGGGAGATCATGGGTTGCCATTATTATCTTAGTGTTTTTCCCCCTCTTTGTCAATCAGCTATAATTACAAGAACTATTGGAACAACACCTACAATTAAATTAACTGACTAACAAATACTGAAATGGTTTAGTCATTAAACGAGGATGAATCCAATGGTTTTAGCAGTGTAGCTTACAGCATAAAAGTAGAAACACCAGGATGTAGGGGACGATCAAGAAGAGAATGGATCGATGGAGTCACTGATACTTTCAGACTCCACACTATGACAGCATACAGGGAAACCGAGCGTGCCCATACTCTGATACCGATATTGATTAAGCCAAAGTGCTTGAGGAAAGAAAAAATTAAAAACAACAAAATTGTTTTCCTTTGTGACAGTCCTCCAAGCGACTCGGATCAACAAGACAACTTGGAAAGAGAACTGACCCGCCAGCTAAACAGACTCGCAACAGACAATCAGATCGTTTTCCAGTGGATCTCGGCTTACTGCGTCATACCAGGAAATGAGTTAGCAAACAGACTTGCTAAAAATGGAACAAAGGAAAAACAACACGCCTACCCATTGTCATCTGCAGAAATCAGAACACTCACCAAGGGAGAATACAGGGAATTTTGGAGAGAACAAACTTAACAGTAAACTCCAAAAGCCCCCATTAGCGAACTCAGCAGAAAGCAACAAACAATTTTCAGTCTACGAACAGGACACTGCAGGCTCAACTACCACATGCATAAAATAAAAATTGTACAGTCCTCCCAGTATGCCTGTCAAAGAGGACCACAAACACCTGAGCACATTCTGAAGACCTGCCCACTCTATAAACAACTTCGAAAAGAGACCTGGCCTCAAGAGTCAAGTGTGCAAAGCAAGCTATGGGGAACCATGAAGGCAACCCACCTGACGGTCTGATCTGAGCATACGAAACCGAACGAGAAGAAGAAGGAGGAGGATACAGATCAGCTATTAACCTGTGACGCATACCGGCACAAAGCAGAATAAAGAAAAAAAAATATGATAGCCGATAGTCGTGGTTCCGATTTCACTGCAGACTGGTCTCTCTCTCTCTCTCTCTCTCTCTCTCTCTCTCTCTCTCTCTCTCTCTCTCTCTCTCTCTCTCTCCCCCTCTCTCTCTCTGTCTCTCTCTCTCTCCTTCTCCTAAGTAGGTCCCTTAAAGATTTCAATTGCAAATCATGGAAATGACGTTCAACCATATAGCCATATATCACAGTTATACTGAGGGAACCACAAACTGTTACAAGGTCACCTGTAGTCTAGTGTTGGTGAGCACTCTTACTGACCCTTTACACTGACAGTGGAAATCATTTAAATAAATGGTTCTTCATAGCCACATTTGAAAAACTAGTGAAAACATCAGTTCCGGCACAATCGTGAAGCTCACACAGGTAAAGTAAACGCATAAGATAGCTGGCAGATGTGCTAACACTAACAGTCCTCCATCAGAATTGCAGCCCATTGTTGATGCAAGCAGTCAATCACGAAACCCGACATTGTATTTTTTGCCGTTATTTATTAATTAACGTAGGATTTCAAAAAAAAAAAAAAAAAAAAAAAAAACCAGAAGAAATAAGAGAAATTACAGAAAAAGCACCGAGATCTACTGTCGTGTGACAAAGAAGATGGTAATAAATTGGACACATGTTGATAAGAAACGAGCAGAGAATCGCCAGGCATTTCCATCAGCCCCTTTAATGAGAGGAAAACAAATCTACCACGTTCAACCTACTACGAGCAGTTACGGCTATAGCTGTGGCATGTTTTTTTGTGGGCCAAGTATGTTGACTAAGAAGTTTTAATTGCACCTAAAACGAGAGGCTTGGACCAGTACTCTAGTATCTGGTGAGGGTTGTTGGGGAAATAAGGAGGGGGATGCAGGTGTACACGATCATCAGCACCCCTGTGCTAGAGAACTCTAATGCTCAAAGAAGATAGTTAAGGTTGGGGTGGGGGAAGCAGACACTGAAATGCGAAACAAAAAGATTTAGGTCAAGAGAACGTCTAAGAGAACCCTTGAAACAAACGTTAATGAATGGAATTGGATTCCATCCATGATATGGACAGAATGGATTAGTAGACTGTGAACCCTATCTGACATAAAATTGCACAAAAGGGCGAAATGGTGAATCTGATAATAACTCATTATCGGTGAACATGTCTTCTATAGAACGTCGCTCTTTTCACGGCACGGCTAAAAGTCTCTTTTATTTTTCTTAGCGAAATTTCCAGCACTGTGTGCTGTCGTAACCAAGGCATCTTCAGTATCCTATATCCACCTTCGCGGAAGTCTTCCTCTGCCTTGTTTTCTGGAAACTGCACCATCTAGACCACCATGAGCTTGCCAATTGTAACCCTGATGTTGAACAGGATATTAATCGTGTGAAAACGTCTACTACTACTACCACCACCACCACCACCACCACCATTACTACTACTACTACTACCACTACTACTACTACTACTACTACTACTACTACTACTACTACTACTACTACTACTACTAATGCTACTACAACCACTACTGTTGTTGTTGCTGCTGTTGCTGCTGTTGCTGCTGCTGTTTGCGAAGAGAACTGATTATCGGTATTAGAAAGAGCCATTTTGTATTCTTTGGCTACTTACAAAGAAAAGGAAAACTGAGCAGGTTTTGACAATTTGGAAGTTGGAGAGAGAGAGAGAGAGAGAGAGAGAGAGAGAGAGAGAGAGAGAGAGAGAGAGAGAGAGAGAGAGAGAGAGAGAGAGAGAGAAGCAAAGACAGACCAAGCGAGAAGACGCTGGATATTTTGACATCATGGCGTAACCGAAAAACTGTCACAAATTATTGATAATATATGAGATAAAGTGGCTATGAATGAACGTGATGGTTCTTTATAATTTATTCCCCCTAAACACAAGGAATCACAGAGTTCCCCAAAAAGTCGAATAATTTAGTTACTGTTTGAAATGAACGCAAGCTAACCCTAACGCCCTCATAATATTGACCTTTCCCGGGAACTCTGGGATTCCGCGTGTTTGAGGTAAAGAAAAAATTAAGAATCGACAGCGCCACACAGCAAAAACTATTACCGATTGCTGATTTAAGAATAGATATCATAGCATACCAGGCAAACTCATAGGTTATCCGTCTTTCCTTTGAATGTCTTCAATATGGGGGTCCCAGGTTAGATTTTTTGTTGTTGTCGAATTTGACTTCGAAATATGCGGGGTTGTCCTCTTTTGGAAGGATGTTGGCTTCTACAGATTCTCCTGTTCTAGCTTTGCGAATGAGTCGCGAACTGTTTTGGGAGGTCATTGATGAAAAGTATAAACAGGGTACGAGATGTAACACCTCCCTGTAGGACACATTCGTGTAGCCTGGCCAGCTTGCTCTAGTGTTCTCCCAGTCTGTCTCTTGCGCAGTGTTTGTAAAGAAAGTCTCCAAGCCAGGTATACAAATGCTCTTTTATCCCGCTGTGTACTAGATTTGGTCAGGTTGAAGAAAGAAGGTATTTGTATTTTTTTTTTTTTAATGGAAAGCATCTTTAGTTTCTTGTGCGAATTGGTATTTTAAAAAAAGTGTAAGCTGCTATCCCCTTCCCCACAACCGTGTATACAGGTTTGTTTAGTATTTTAGTTCTATAAATATAATTTGTTTAATACGTATGTAGTTAGTTGCATCCTTTACAGGACGTTGCAGAACTAACCCCATCATTTTTTGGCTGTTGTGGTTTTTCTAGGCACGTTTACGTCCAGTAGTTTGCCGTTGCTTCTCCATACCACTGTCGAAACCAACGCAAGGCGCAAGGCCCGCAGCTGGGATCAAACCCGGCACCCCGGCCTTACGAAGTGCGTTCGCAACGCCTAAGCCACATACGCCGACAAATACTTGTATACTCTTATATTTATTCGCAATTTAGGGGTTATTCTATTATTAAGCACTCAAACGTGGCTTAGGCTTATTTAGGCCCTAGTCCTCATTCCCTGAGAATGTTATTAAGGGTTCTGAGCTACGCGTCCCTACCTTCCTAATTTTTTCCTTGTGTTGGCGCCGCTGTGTTAGATTTAATGAGTCATCCGTGGTTTCATTTGTACACGAATACCCCATTAGAAATTAACGTTTCTGATAACAATAGTGTGTAGAAGCTGAAAACTACGGTCTGTTTCCAGATCGGGGATGTAGAGACAGGAAAAGCGAAGTAGAGAGAAGGAATAGATAGATCAATTGTTAGAGAATCAGAGAGAGAGAGAGAGAGAGACAGAGAGAGAGAGAGAGAGAGAGAGAGAGAGAGAGAGAGAGAGAGAGAGAGAGAGTAACATATAACAATTAAAGCAGCGAGCTTCGTGGCTTTAATTGATTTCGCGTGCGTGAAGAAATTATAGCTAGCAGTTCTCATTAATTAACTTGAAAGCACGTAATAATTAATTGTAATGTGTGAACAGTGATGAAATAATTCCATTTGGATAAGCAACAATGATATATTATGTCAGCTCTGTACGTGTTAGATTGAACGGTATGTTTGGAAATTTTCCTAAAACAGTTATTGTGTGTCATCATTATCAATCATCATCAGCATTGCCATCCCTACAAGAGGGTTCCGGGACTCCATTGAGGAGGGAGGGGGGTGGGCTGGGGCAGGATGGGGCAGGATGGGGTTGAAAAAAAAGAGGGGGTGGGGCTGTGGGGAATAGAGCTCATAACGAGCATGTTATGAAAGGCGACTTTAGGGAGTTGATAGGTCGAAAGGGATATCGCAGAGTAAGTTGTAAACCACAACACACCGTGCCAACTACCCTTTTCAGGACGAAAGCAGAAGATGATTGATCATCGTCGTCATCGTCAAGTGTGATGCCATTC